CCTTGGCATTTTAGGAAGGACCTGTTTCCTCCTCGAGAACCCTTTCTGCAGTCCTCAGTGGGGTAGAGAAGGTCTGCTTCAGGAGTCTTGCCAAGACGACTCATTCCAGGCTCATCGTAGGGCAATAAAGGCTGATGGAGGTTGTTAACATCACTATTAAAATGCAAGCTCCCTTTCAGATGTCTAAATGCATTCATGTCCAGATTAAGAATACCAGAGCTGATGAGGCTGTATCAGTATTATCCATACTTATTTATATTTACCGTTTGTGGCTTTGGAGTTCCCAGAACTTTTGACGTTCATAAAAAGCACATGCCAGATTTTCAGATTAAAACAACATTTTTAGTGTCTTACTATTCCAAATCCCATATCACTGTATGAATCTATTTGCTGTTATTGGGGAAATTTGGGCCATTCCACTGAGATTGAAGTTTTCTGTGAACTAAGAATCAGTAATGGCCTACCATGATTTAGATGGAGAGGCATCACTCTTAGCTGATTCCAGCAAAACAGATGATGTGGGTTCTCCCTTTTGGGCTCAGTTGTGACTCATGTTTTAAAAGACATATTGACAGTATTTTGTATAGAGTATACAAGTTTTTTATAGCATTTGTGTTTTGCAGTGCTTGCCCTCCATGAAGTGGTAATTCCAAGTATATCCCTAAATGCCTGGCAAAGCATTTGAATGGATTGCATCAGCCATTGTGGAAGATTTCTCATTTTAGACCAGGAGGAATTTGTGGGGTCAAATACTGAACAATGAAAGAGTTTCTTGCTCATTGAAAGGCCAGCGGAATCCAGTGGCAGTTTAGGGTCTGAATTGTAAATCAAACCTGTCATCTCCTTGTCGACTGCGAAAAGCCTCTACTCGCTGCTTTATACAACATTAGGGTTTGTTATTAGGGTTTTGTATTGTTTTCCAAAAATTTGAAGGGAAATTAGATTCTTGAGGCATTTGTTCACTGAAGCTGAACTTTGGAAAAGAGGAACAAAAAAGTAGTGCTATTCATAAAGAAACTCTTAAATGATTAGACAGCTCCCTCCACAATTATTACTGTATTTAACCGAAGATATGGGCTCACTCAGTATTACTCAAAAGACCCTCTCTGGGTGCCATACACAATCCTCACATGGTTAATAGACTGGACTCCAGTGGTTTCAGTGTCTATGACAGTATTAATAGACTGAACTCATAATGAATTTGTAGTTTACATGTGCAATTTAATGAGAACTAGCCTGTTATTTTCACCAAAAGCAACTTTGACTTTTTTTTCCATTGAATCTGGTGAGATTTTTTTCTCTGGTCATAACTGGGAACAGGTGGAATTATTGGCCTGCACAACCTCTTGCCTTACTGAAAACTTGGCTATGGGCCAAAAAGTTTGAGGACCACTGCCTTAGGAGCAGGAAAAAAGCAAGCTGTTTGAGACGGTTTATTGTGATGATTCAGGATTCATTATCCATTCCACAAATATTTATTGAACGCCTACTATGGCAGCTTTATGCAAGTGAAGCCTGGAGTATGGCAGTTGCCAAGCAAAACCTGGTTCATTAAAACATCCCAGCTAGTAAAACAACTGAATGGGAAATGAGAAGATGAGGGCTGACTTCTGAGGACCAAATGCGGAACAACCTGGCTAAAATCATGTCTGAGTAATTTGCCCCCCACTTGATGTATGATAAAAGAATATACACAGGGCTTTAGTAGAAGTCTGTTTGAGAGAATAATTATTACAATATGTGCTTGAAAAGAACCATAATGATAGCCCATAAAAATAGATCACGGCTCTTGACTAATACATCAGACCAGATCATGCTGGTTGATAAAAGTAATGAAGCCTGTGTGGTAGAGTGCTACTATTTAGTAAAACTTTCACCGACACCCACACAGAATGGAATGAGCAAGGGTGTGCTGTTTACAGAGGGTAAATGTGGGAACGCAGAGCATCAGAAAAAAGAAGTTGGGGTTCACACACACACATACATATATCTATATACACCCACTCAGACCCTATTAATCACTGAAAACTTCTTTAATTTTAACAATTGCCATTCTACCTTAGGACTATTATTCCAGTAGTACATTGCCAAAACCTTTTCTTCATAGATCCATAGCATGTAATATATTGACACAGATTCATTTATGTTTTAATAATATAATACAATTACTGGTGACTCTGTTGAACATAATGAACTGAACTCTATTTGAAGGCAGACTCAGCAGTCCTCTAGTCAGTCCTATTCCTCTAAATGTGGTGTTCAGATGATGAAGGCTTGATAAGACAGTGTAAATCTAAATCTATCATATGACCATGATATTTACTGCAGTGCATATGCAAATTATCCACAATAATTAAAATAGGGTAGGTCATGTTGACATAAAGCAGAATTGCTTAACTATACTGTTAAGGGCCTGAATTTATGGGAAAAGTCAGCATTGGGTGGACTAAGGTTTGGGATAGAGTTGTGAATATAGTTAAAAAATACTTCTTTGTCATACTGATGTGACAAGGCCTGGTCAGTCTCTTTCTTCACTTTAGTTTGTTAATTAATCCCTTTAACCTCCAGCAGTAGCACTTCCAATCTTGACCACTTCTATTGGCTGGACATTAATTATCATCATTACTTCTTTCAAATGTAAGCCATACCTGTATTTATATGGCACCTTCTCAAACTTTTTCATTTTACTGTCATGTAATCTTAATATTGGTTAATAAGTTGACTAATACTGGCATTCTTTGGTTACCTTAGCAGCTAAAGTTCTTAAATGATGTCCAAGAAAGACTTACCTTATAGCAACTTCTGTTTTATACGTAAGGAATAGTTAATATTAGAGTGAGGTTCTATAATACTTGTCCACAAAATCTCCTCCCACCACTTCCAAACACACACACACTTAAATACAGAGACCTTTCTCCATAACTTGTAAAAGGATCCCTAACTGGTCTATGTGACACAGGGATGAAGGAGCTGAAGACTGATATTCACATTCCCATTATAAGGACGGGAAATTGAGGTATGAAACAATTGAGTGACCTGGTAATGGTCAGGCAAATCATAGACACAGAGATAGAAACATTCCAAGAAAGTGTTTTAAAAAGTTCACTAGAAAACCAAGGCATATTTAATATTAATGGATAACCCAATTGCCTTGCTGTTAGTTTTATCTTGGATTAAAATCATTTTCTCAGTGTTAAAGTCACTCTTTATTTGGAGGCTTAGAAGTAAGTTGTCGGCGCTCACAGGGAAGAGGAGGGATGTTCTAGGATAAGTGATGGCAAAATCTTTGAACAATAAGATGTGAGAAGTCATTTTAGTTGCTCATGACTTTGCTCAGACAAGAACAAGTAAAAATCTTCTAAAGATATTTGTATTTTTTCTTCATCTAAATATAATAGGGTAAAAAAACTTAAATAATATGCATAAAACAATAAAGCTGTAAAATTATGCTACATTACTACCTTGGTAGGTGACTAGTCATTTCAAATGGAGAGTGGAAAGGATATTACTTGCTGAAAGTTGTATGATGAGGATGAATAGTTATGTGAAGAGAGTTTACATTGTAAAATTTGTTTTCTATTTAATATCTGACTGGGGTTGTTATCTAAGGCAAGTCTTTTTCCCTTTGTGTTTCAGAAAAGTGAAAGTATGCCTCTATTTCCCAAAGAATATATGTGGATATATTAGTGTTTGGGAAAGGGCGTAATGATGTACAAATTAAAATTGTTTTTTTGCAAGATGATAGAGTTTTCTTGGATGAAGGGTAACTATTCCATGAGTGAAGCCGAGTTTCCTCTTTCAAGAGTGAAGGTGACTTGAGACTCTTGGAATCACTTACAAGTAGCATTTTAAGGAGACACATCACTTCCTTTGTTCAGAGACAAAACAGTAGGTATTAGTTCTATAATAAAGCCATGTCCCACCAGCAGCATGTGGAGCTTATTTAAACTTAGTTCCAAATTGGCAAAAAGAAAATTATGATTTAGAAAACTATTTAAATTGTGGAACTTCAACTGCATAGTACTTCTTATGATATATTAAAAAATTATGTTGCTATATAGATTAGTAACCATACAATCATGTATACTGTACTTTTATTGGTTTGGGGGGGATTTGCTGAGATAATTTTGATTATACTCGATTTTTGCCTAATGAACTTACCTTAGAACCTAAGCCCTACTTAAGAAAAGACCCCACTATAATTTAACATATGTCTGTGATCATAGCATAAGGTTTTTCGCTGCAAATCTACCTTATTCCAGATAACTTATGTAGATCAGGGAGGCAGTCCCTTTAATCTAATTTTAATTTCAAATCAGCCTGTAAAACCAAATTGATGGAATATTTAAGGTAATGCTTTTTGTATTTTCTGATTTCACCCTTGCACAACTTGGATAGTTTTTGTTGAGGTATCATCAAATGCCTGAAATGAAAGGGAAGTTAAGGCCGTGGCTCACCGCCAGGGTCATTTGCTAAGCTGGGAGTAGGGCTACCTTGTTCATACTCAGCTCAGTGGGGTGATCATGGGAGAATCATTTGACTTGATGTTCAGGGTTGGTCCTCACACTGATGATTGCCCAGTAACTACCCTCCTCCTGCTCTCTTAAGCAGCCAACCCCAAAGGACTGATGCAATCTTTGCCTAGGAACCTTCCTGCATAGGTGAGGGGTCTTACCTGGAAATAACACCTGGTGGGTGTTATTACAGACAGAATTTCTGCTGTAACAGACATTTTTAGAGTTGCATTTTGTTGGCAATTTTCCCCTCAAAGTGCAGTAAATATGCATTCGAGAAAATATAATAGGAACTCAGACTTCAGGGAGCCTAATAAACCTCAGCCAGGCAGGACCTATTGTTCGTGTTCATGTTTTCCTCATCTAATGCGGGAATTAGCAGAGGAGAGGGCTCTGAACCACTGCTTTTCTCATGTTTCTCAGGTAGAAGCAGGAGATATTCATGAATTTCTGTTTTCCTTCCTCCCTTTCTCCCTGACCCTTCAGATTTATGAGGAATCCAAGATGAATTTGGAGCAGGAGAGGCCGTTTGTCTGCAGTGCCCCAGGCTGCTCCCAGGTGAGTGTGGGGGGTCCTCTGCTCTGCCTGCAGGGGACGCAGTGCCTTCCCACAGGGAGGCACCTCTCACTTGACCATCACGCCTGCTGCTGGCTTTCCTTCTTATACCCAGATATTCTCACCACTGCCACCACCACCACCATCATCATCATTTTCCACTTTGAATAGTTTGAACTACTTCCTGCCCAGCCTCTGTGATACATTGGTGTTGGCTATTTTCCCCCCATAACTTTCCCCGGGAAGTAAGCCAGCCGAATCCTGCCCACCAGATGTTCAGGATTGATATTTCAGACTGGGGGAAAGAGGGTGCCTGCTTTGACAATAGCTGCTTAAATTCTGGGCCATTGGATTACTGGTGAAATAGCTCACCATCAGAGACTGAATCTGATTTTGTTTTGTTTTCCCACTTGAGTAAAATAAAACTCCTAGACTCTTCTAGAACCCACAGTTTTCCCACTTATCTTTAAGAGAGGAAGTTGGCCTGCTGTGCTGGATTAACCCTCTTTTGGCCTCCAGGGTTCCTATCAAGTGGGTTAGATGTGAGGTTTAGATGAGGTTCTATGTGTAGAGTGTTTAGTGAAGGACCAGCACATTGTGCTCAATTAAGATCCACTGTTGCTATGAAGACTTCGGCTATAACTATACTAGAACCCCTGTCTTTGAAAGAAAGTGGAAACATCCATCATCTAAAATCAGAGTCTGGCATTTTCCCTTTGGAACTTGATGGAGACTTTTTCTACCCTTGACCCTTTGGATGTCTCCAAGTTCTAGTCATTGGAAAATGACTATACATGGTGCTCTCACGCCAAGATCTTCACTTTATGGGATAAATAGCAAGCTTAGAACTCAGAGCACAGGCATGTGGGTAGCTATGCTCTTCTTTCTCTAAAATGCCCAGTAGTTTCAAGTGGAATCAAGCCCCATATTTTTGTCTGTTTATATTGTGGGATTGGTGACACAGTATGGAACCATGTCTGTGAGTCAATGAGAGGTGACGTCCATTAAGGACCCTTTCATTTTATCTCCCCAGACAGTGTGAGGAGGGTTCTGGAAGCTTCCTGGGGGGAAGATGCCATGGGAACATGAAATGTTATTGCCCTGTGATGCTGCTGGTGACATCAGACACTGGCTAAGAAACCAGCATCCTTTGCTTGGGTTCTAGTAGATTCTGCAAGGGCTTTTGTGTGAATGCTGGTTTTTACTCTACAAATAAGGAAACCAGCAGAGAGAATTATTTTGAAATTCAACTATTTGGGGCTGGTTTTGAAGGTCCCTTTGAAATAGGAAACACTGGGAAGACACAGATAGGTTGTTGTACCGGATAAAATTCTGCTAGACCATGACTATCCACTGTGAAATAGAAAGTTCCCTTATCTAAGTTAAAACTGATTTCCACCTAGTTTTCTTAAGGAGGAGTTTTGATAGCCAGAAAAAATCCAGTTATTTGAGTAGTTTGCTTTGCTTTGGCTGTGAAAATGTGTCATTAAGTTTTGTTCAATTTGAGACACTCAACACACTTTCCAGGGGTCGGCTGTGTAAATAAAACACATGCATCCTGCCCCCACAGAGCTTCTAGCCTAACTGTCATCTTTGGACACATGATCACATCATCAATTAATTAATGAACTGCAATTTTCCATGAAAGGAGAGCACAGGTCACCCTGAAAAATATCATAGGGGGTTTTACTTTACTTGGGGGAGGAGAATGGGGTTTCCTCTGCAGAAGTTGCATTTAAGGGAAAGGGATCCTCGAGAGATTTACCAAAGGCCAAAGAAGATTCATGGAGAGTTAGGGTTCCAGGATATTCCAGGGTTGTGAATGGTGGTAGAGAGAGCCTTTAAGGAAGGTTTAGCTGCATCCAGCATTTGGATAAGTCAGAAAAGTGCACAGTGGCCGTTGGACAGTGTGGTGGAAATTTCCCATTTTCGACCCTCCCGACATTTGGGGCTGAATGATTCTTTGTTGTGGTGGTGTCAGGGGGCCTCCCGATGCACTGTTGTGGTGGTGTTTAGTCGCTAAGTTGCTGCCTTTGCGAACTACTTGTTAGTGAAAGAAAGTTTCCATTTGTCCTTGGCATGGAAAGGCTCAAATAGTGTCTGTGAGTGATAACAAGCTCAATCTCAGTGACAATTCTGCCTTTGTGATGGTGGTAACTAAGAAAATGCGCTTTTAAAGGATTGCTGTTGTTGTTTTAGACACTAATTTGTATCTGACTCTTTGCGACCCCCTGGACTGTAGCCCGCCAGGCTTCTCTGTCTATGGGATTTTTCAAGCAAGGATACTGGAGTGGATTGCTGTTTCCTTCTTCAGGGGCTCATTCTGATCCAGGGATTGAACCCATGGCTCCTGCCGTGTCTCCTGCATTGTAGGCAGACTCTTTAACCACTGAGCTGCTGGGGAAGCCCTCCCTGTGCCCTCTAGGATACTTAGCAACATTGTTGACCTCTACTTGTTAGGTCCCATGAGCACTCCTCACTTGTAACAACCAGAAATGTTTCCAGACATTACTAAATGTCCCCTTGGGGGCTAAATTGCCCCTGTTGAGAGGGACAACCCAATGCTTTGCATTTCAGCTTTAACCTTGTTTCTTTCTGGATCTGTTTCCTTTTGGGGGATCACTACTTCTTCCTGATGCTCTCCCTTTCTATTTTAGGTATTGCTACAAGCCATCTTTTCTCCTTCTTGGAATCAGGCAGGGTATAAATAAACAAATGTTACAGACGTGTAGTCACTGGTGTCAGATGCTGCTAGAGCTGGGATAGCGAGAGGCCTGAGCAGGGGCTGTTGGGTTTGGCAGTTGGGTGCCTGCCGGCGACCTATGAGAGAGGAGTCCGGTTGGGGGCCAGATTGGAAGGGATTACTGAGCGAGTGGGTGGTGAGGAAGTGGAGGTGGCCAGCATAGAGGAGTCTTTCAAGAGTGCTAGGGAGTGACGGAAAGCAGAGTGATATAATGGTAGCCGGAGAAGGAAGCAGCTTGAGAAAGGTTCTTTTTAAAGTCAGGGCTCTCCAGGCTGGGTTTTGTCAAGGGCAAGGAGGAGTGAGCGTGCTGACTTGAAGGATCACAGCTTGACTGTCCATCCTCAGGAGATAGGGGTGTAGAGGATCCTGTGAAGGAGATGGGGGTGCTCATTTCTCTGAGACAGGAGAGAACAGAAATAGAACCCATGAAGTTAATGCAGATTCTCAGATGGAGGTGATAATAAAGGTTGAAGGGGTGCATTTCAAATGATCTTCAGCTTCAGTGAAAGCAGGTCATTCATTTCCTTGAGAAGGCTGAGTGAACTGATGAAATAGTTGGACAAACATGAGAAATGAGAATTTGCACAGTTTCTTGGTTTTAAGGTAAAATTCCAAGCCTCTTCTTTCAACACCCTCTAAATTTGAATGTGAAGATAAACCTACAACTTGATGTCTCTCTTTAATGTGGAAGTGTTTTTTCTTGACAAGCTGTTATAAAAATATGAGCATCTTTCAATTGAAAAGAAATTAGAATTAAGAATATATAGTGGTTGGTCAGTGATACCAAGGGTCTCCTGGTGGGGTGTTAGGGAATCAGTCTATCATGACATTTACTTTAGCCTCATTCCATAGTCTGGGAACCTGCATGGAGAAGAAAGGATGGCTGGGAATTGGAAATGGAAGTAAGAGTGGATTATTAGTGCTTGCACTGTGTTGGAGGTGATGGATGGATTCTCCCACCCTTTTCCTTAATTGGAAAGAACCTTTGCTGTATTAGGAATAGCTCGTAATATCTGGGAGATTTTTGTGTATGTGTTATGACTCCTTATAAATTAACTGTGTCCCACAAGTGAGGAGAGACAAGTTTCTTGTGTTCCTTCTAATCTCACAGAGTCCAGTGTTAATTTCAGTGTTCCTTTGCTCTCTGCATTAACCATGTTTTAAGTTCCAGTGGCCTCACTCAGCTCTGTGTCTTTTGTAGTCTGTACATTTTGGCTATGTACAATTTGCTGCTCTTTTCCTACCAAACATAAAAAAAAAAATTCAAGACGTCCTATGTTGTCTCTTTTGGAAGATTATTACAGTTAATATGAGGTATTATGGAAAGGCTCAAATGGTAGAGAATCTGCCTATAATTCAGGAGACCTGGGTTCCATCCCTGGGTTGGGAAAATCCCCTGGAGAAGGGAATAGCTACCTACTTCAGTATTGTGTCTGGAGAATTCTATGAAATGAGGGGCTTGATAGGCTACAATCCACGGGGTTGTAAAGAGTCAGACACAACTGAGCAACTAACACTTTAACTTTTGTTTTTCTTTCCTACCAAATGTAAAAAGAAAATCCAAGATATCCTATATTGTCTCTTTTGGAAGATAATTATAGTTACTATGATATATTATGGAAATTATTTTTAGTGTATAATAAGTTTATATTCTATTTTTTTCTGTTTATATCCTATTTTAGGCTATTATTTTATGGATCCAAAAATGGCTGCCCAAATGGCTGCAAACGAAGCCTACTACCATGTGGTTTTTTGTTTATATATTATAGAAAAATTATGATAAGGCTTTTGACAGAAAGACTTTAAGAATTTTAATCTATGTGGCTAAGTCACACATGGTATTGTAACATATTTGATGCAGTCATTCTACTGTGGTGTTAGAGGACCAAGAAAATAGATGATCCTGCAGGAAAAACCCACATGTCATGGAGACTTCTGTGTATTCAGAAATCTGGCATTATCACCATGCTTTGCACCTTCTATACTCTCCAATTTATGTTATACAAATGACAAAGAAATGAATGATATTTATTTAAAGAACTACTTTTGAAATATTCCAATGAATTTAGCCTAGTGAATCCTCTCATTCCCTTGAATACAAATTATATTATTTGCAGAAAAGATTTCTATTCTAGTATGCAATGGTAATTGAAATTTGTAGCCACTATCCTGTGGAGCTGGGATGCTCTGAAAGATTTTCTAAATTGTCAAAGCCTGAGAAATATTTAGCAGACCTAATTGTCTTTTGTTGTATTTTCATTTGACTTTGATAAGTCAAATACTTAGTTAATTTTAGTTATTAAAATGTACCAGTCTGAGTCAGGATAAGCTAGGATCTGCTGCAATAACAAATCAGCTCAAAGCTTCAGTGACTTGACACAGTAAAGACTGATTTCAGTTGCCCAAGCATACATTTCAATTATAGATTGACAGGAAATTTGTCATAATTTTTTAGAATTTGGAAATGCTCTTCATAATCCTCCAGAGATTTAGGATGATTGAGGGGCCACTGTGAATGGCCATGCTAAAAGGGAAAGGATCTTGCCCCAGGAAGTTGATGCTCACATCTGGGTGACATGTCACTTCCATTCATGACTCAATGGGCAGAACCACTCACATGGCCCCACCCAACCACAAGAGGGCCAGGAAATCTAATCCCATCATTTGACCTGAAGCCAGCCAATTGAATACACTTGGGCACAGCATTTTGACAATCATAGTGTCATTCTCTGAAAATTAAAACTAAAGTGTTGGTTTACTAGGGAGTATAGACCATTAAAAGCAATTTGTCTTGTTACTATATATCATATATATAATTATGATTACTGAGATAATCAGTGTTCAACGTCTTCATATACAGAAACATAGTATGCAAATGTCATGGGGTACATTTGTAGATATAGAGCACATAATTAGGCATGACATGTAATTCTTTCCCAAAGAAAGAATGTGACATAAATGCACATGTGCTTGCATAAAATAATTTGTCATTTTACTTACCAGCCATGCTTTCACACTTTCTCAGAACTAACCTTTTGTTTTGCCTGTCACGTTTACAATGCCGAGTAAATCTTTTTCTCTGCGATGGCAAATATTTATTATAAAACTGAATGGCTCCTCTCCTCTCTCCCTTTTTTATTTTGTCTGACAGCGCTTCCCAACAGAGGACCATCTGATGATTCATAGGCACAAGCATGAAATGACTTTGAAGTTTCCCTCAATAAAAACAGACAATATGTTATCAGGTAAGGAGCCATCAGGCAAAGAGGCTTGGGTGAGCAGATCAGCCACACGAGAGATACTTGTTGTGCGTAGCAGAATGATTTTCCAATGGCAAATTCTGAGCCTTGAAAATATACATTTCTAAGGTATAGCTGAGACTTAAAATAATGGTAAGGAGAAATGTAATCAGCTAATGTAGTGTTTGCTAAAATAATTGGAGCTCTGTGACTTCTCATTTTTCTGTAATGTGAAATATTTATTGCTATGAAACTTGGATCCATGTATTTTTTCAAAAAAAATCACATACCTGTAATTACTCAAGCAACAAATATTAATTGAGCATTGGTAATGCACTCTGCATAAAAAGCAGAGACATTACTTTGTCAACAAAGGTCTGTCTAGTCAAGGCTATGGTTTTTCCGGTAGTCATGTATGGATGTGAGAGTTGGACTGTGAAGAAAGCTGAGTGCCGAATAATTGATGCTTTTGAACTGTGGTGTTGGAGAAGACTCTTGAGAGTCCCTTGGACTGCAAGGAGATCCAACCAGTCCATCCTGAAGAAGATCAGTCCTGGGTGTTCATTGGAGGGACTGATGTTGAAACTGAAACTCCAATACTTTGGCCACCTGATGCGAAGAGCTGACTCATTGGAAAAGACCCTATGCTGGGAAAGATTGAGGGTGGGAGAAAAAGGGGACGACAGAGGATGAGATGGCTGGATGGCATCACTGGCTCAATGGACATGAGTTTGGGTGGACTCCGGGAGTTGGTGATGGACAGGGAGGCCTGGCGTGCTGTGGTTCATGGGGTCGCAGAGTCAGACACGACTGAGTGACTGAACTGAACTGAACTGAATGCCCTCTGCACCATTCTGAGTGCCATGAGCCTCAAAGATTGATATGATTACTATTTTTGAGGACATCATAATGTAGTGTGTGTGTGTGTGAAAACTTAGCTAAAACAGAAGACTGTCCATGATATGTATCAGAAGAGCATTGTAAGGGTTATGCTGTGTGACTTTAGTAGAAGGAACTCTCTTTCTGGTTGAACTAATCAGTGAACGTTTCCTTAAGAAACAGTACCTGCTTCATAGTTAGGAATTTAAATGAGATAATGATGGAAATATAGCAAGTATTCAACACATGGGAGCAGAAATAAATAAGGCTAATCTATCAATTAATTGCCTTTCTGTCCCATTTTGACAAGAGTGCCAGGAGTAAGGAAACAAGGAGTGAGAAAACTTGAATTCTAGTCTGGCCAGATGACCTTGAGTAAGTTGGTGAACACTTCTGGGCTTCAGTTTCCTTTTCTATAAAATGGGAATGATTTTATCTTCCCAGATACAATGAAAGTATTAAGTGAAAGTATTTCATGAGCCCAACCAGGGTAATTAAAGCATTTCCTATTGCCCTTCTTAGGCTAGAAATAATTTGTTCAAGCCACTGACTCCCTGGCATTGTGAAAAGGGTCACACCCATGAACATGTTTTAAAAGATATCAGAAGAGAAACTGACTGCCCAGGCAAAACTGGCTCCAATAATTGAGCATTTCTGTGGCACTTAAATTTTACAAGTATTTTATTATCACTATTATCAGTAAACCCTCTAAGAGTTTTGTCAGACAGGTTATTATTACAACCCACAGTTTACTGAAGAGGTGGAGGGACGTGGGAGAGGGAGCAGCTCTCTCAAACTCCCCAGTTCAGTTCAGTCGCTCAGTCCTGTCAGACTCTGCAACCCCAGGGACTATAGCATGCCAGGCCTCCCAGCAGGGCAGGAATAGAGCCCCTGATCCTACACTTCTAACCCTCTGACCCACACCAGCTACTGCACTGTCAGGCTTCCTCAGTAGATACATATGATCAAATACTTTCAGTGATGGGACCGTCCACACATGTTCACAATCCGGCCTGTACTTGTTAATAATGCAGATGTACTATAGTTTGGAAGACTCTTGAGTTCAAAGGCAATCTTTTCCTTCAACCATCCCCCGACACCCTTCCCCAATACCTCTCTCAGTCTGTTTGTTTTCATTGAACTAGCTGGCTCTTCAGAAACAGCTTTGTCTTTCCTTACGTCTAGAAACAGAGATGCAGAAACTCAAATTTCTAAGAATTATGAAATCTTAGAAGGATTAGGAAGGGTGGTCTCTTCTTTTGTTTTGATCATTTATTAAGTTCTGTAGAGTCACATGTGGTGTTACCTTACAGTTCAACAATGAACATATATATGCAAATAACAAGGCATTAGACTTTGAAATCCCCAGTATTTTAAAATAATAAGTTCACCCTTTATTTTAACCCAAACAGGATCCTTAAATAGGCTGCCTTGTGGTAGGGAGTGGTAGGTGAGTGTGAGGGTGCTGTGCTTAGTCACTCAGTCATGTCTGACTCTTTGCAACCCTATGTACTGTAGCCTGCCGGGCTCCTTTGTCCTTGGGATTCTCCAGGCAAGAATACTGGAGTGGGTTGCCATGCCCTCCTCCAGGGGATCTTCCCAACCCAGGGATTGAACCCAGGTCTGCCACTTTGTAGGTGGATTCTTTACCATCTTTTGCTCTCTCAGGTTTTATATTGAAGCTGGTAGGAAGCCATTTCATACTCCCAATGAAATTGAGTGCTAAATTTTAAAACATGCTCCCCACGCTGCATGTTTGTAATCGTGCAGAATTTTCTTGCTGGAACAGAATGCAAAGCTATCCAGTCCAACTCCAGGGGTTGAGGTCAACTACACATCATATGTCAATTTGTCCACAGTGAATTGTAATAGGCTATTTACTGGGTATTTTTGCCTTGCTATTTTTTCTCAAGAAAGTCTTTATACATATTTATCTCAAACACAGTTTTAGCATACTAGATTATGATTGTAAAAATGATTGAAATTTTACTTGTGTATATCTTGATTACTTGGATTTGAATTTATCAAAACTTTCAGAATATATTTTTATGAAAATATGTTCATTAAGATTTTATTTCTTAATGTCCCTTAAGCCTATTTTGTGGCCTCTCATAAAGATTAATAATTTTGTACAGCTTGAAATATAGTAAAAATAAAAATAGTATAAATCAAATCATCATCATCATAAAGCATCATCAGGACAAAAATGTTTAAGTCCCTCCTGGGTTATTTTTTTCAAGCAATATTCAATTATACAAAATTTTATTTCAGATGAATTGGAGTTTGACATATATTAAGGAGATAATGTATGGTAGGTATGTTTATCACTGATTTCAGGATATCTGGCTAACCTAAATTTTTGGAAAATCACTTCATCCTTCATTAATTGCAAATATTGCAGTTAGGGAAGTTATTAAGATACCACAGATATATTCTTCATGGATAAATATCCAAAGAATTGTAAGATTTGAAATAATTCATAGCTTTGCCATAGAGCCCATTTTATTTAGGGCAGGTAGAATTTACTACTCAAAATAACTGTAAACAATCTTTGACACACCACAAGTCAGGATAATTCCAGTGGCAGTCCTGGTGTTTTATTAAGATGAGTCTGCTCTTATGGATGGGGTGTCAACATAAAGCCTTTCTTTCTAAGGTGACGGTACTAGTAGGGACAGGAATAGGGGTGGTGGTGTTGGATTCTGAGGGCAAAGACTTCCATCCCCTCCCACCTTGGTCCTTCCACCCTTATTTGGGCCATATGATACATGTCCAGAGTTCCTGATGTGATCAGGGGCATGAGTCATTCCCTTTAGCTGTTCTTAATCTGATAGGTGATAATTTCTTTGTGAGGGAAGTGGTGATAGCGATGGTTTTTAAGTGCCAAGTTTGAGATGGGAATCTACTGAGGACAATACACTTCCACACACAGGTTGCAAAACTACCAACTACCATATCACATCAGATCTGGTTTGCAAATGATGATCAAATTTCAGTAGTAGAGATAGTGAAGCATTAGAGATATGTGTTTGGGTCTATGTTAATGGTTTTATGGCTTGGTGTCCTGGAATTCCCCCATCTTGCCCTATCAAACATCCCCACCTTCATTTTTTACAGGGTTCCCAGGTTTTGCACAGGGGAAAAACAGAATAGGAATCAAAGTGCAACTTTGTAGCTGAACAAATAATAAGCAGATAATACTCTAGACGAGAACTCTGTGTGTATGTGTTGTGTGTTGTGGAAATATGGTAGAAATATTGACCTAGAAGATGATCGATTTTGTTTCATTAAAGGGAAGGTGAAGTTCAAGAGTATCACAGACCTCTTCCAAAAGGTAAAGCCCTATCAACACTCAGGTGGGAAACCTGAGAAAGAGACACAGAGACTGCCTTTAAATGTCTGGTCAGTTCCCCCACTAGACATCTTAATCCGATTAATGCTGCAGGCAAAGGGGCTGTGCTTGTAGAGAAGTTAGGACAGGCACCCGCTGAGGTGTAGAAAGAGGATCTGAAGCTGCCCCTTCACCACCATTCATTTATTTAACAAACATTTGATGAGTGCCTGCAAGGATCCTATTGTGTTGGGTGCTGGGAATGTGGCATTGAACCAGACAGATGAAGTTGCTCTTCCATAGAGCTGACTTTATGCTATTGAGAGTGGGGAGGAAGAGAGATAATAGAAAAACAAAACAAAACAACCCCCTGCCCCCAGATAAGTAAATACGAAAATATCCGTTAGGGACAAGTACTCTAATGAAGATAAAAACATGATGGTGTGACATCAGTGGCCAGCAGGCTATCTGAAGGGAGGTCAGGAAATGCCTTTTCTGGATGGGTATGCATTTCAGCCAAGACCTGGTGTTCAGTACTCCAGGCTCAGGGATTCTTTCTCCCTGACCTCTGAGTGTGGTGGGGCTGGGAGTGGTAAAACCCCAACACCAGAGGCAGTGCAGCTGACTGTCTTGCACTGACACACAGAGGAGAGGTGAGAGAGACTGGCTTCTTCATCTCATCTTCTTGTAAAAAGGACACTAGAACCCTTCAGGACCCAGCTGAGATCTGGATTAGGTCTAGAAGTACAGCCTAGTTCCAGACTCAGAACCTAATTCTTACTGTGGAGAAAGCAAA